CCCAACCCTTCTGCACCCCGTACAGACCTCCATTGTTCTTGACCTCTGTTTTGGGGGGAGGTCCCACCCAGCACTGCTCAAGGCCTACTCCCAGTTCAGTGCTCAGAGGACCATGCGGTACTGGGGATCAAACCCGCGCTCCAGGGATGGGACACAATGCCGTGGTGAGTGGTAGTGGGAAATATACACTGGGGAAGGGACAGGTGTTGGAACACTGTATGGCTGAAACCGGATCAAGAACAACTTTGTAACTGTGTATCTCCCTATGATTCAGTTTAAAAGAAAAATTTTTTTAAATAACAGTAACAACAGAAAACACTAATGCAGTGGTTAGAGTATATGCCAAGCCTGCACCCAACCTGGGCTCCATCCTGGGCTCCACGTGGTCCCATGAGCTATGCAGGTGCGTCCCTGGAGGGCCCTAGCTGCCGCGGTCCCATCTCCCCAGCACCATCGCTTCCTTGAACCCTGGCATTGACCCACCTGCTCAATTGGCTGAGAAGCCCCGTGAGGCGAGGCTTCTGAGCACCCTGTGCAGGGCTGAGGAGAGCCCAAACCAACGAATAACAAAATCCCAACCCAGGGCTCCTGCATGCAGAGCAGGTACGCCAGCCCCTCCTCCACCCCTGCTCTCTCGGCCCCTCAGTGAACTTCTCTCTGTCTCTAGTTTTTTTTTTTTTTGCTCTTTGCATCACATCCAGCGATGCACAGGGGTTACTCCTGGTTCACGCACTCAGGAGTTACTCCTGGCAGTGCTCGGGGGACCATACGGGATGCTGGGAATTGAACCTGGGTGAGCTGTGTGCAAAACAAATGCCCTACCCACCGTGCTATCACTCCAGCCCCTGCCTCTAGTTCTATCTCTGCCGCCAAGTCAGACTGTGTTTGCATAGTCAGCAGTTAAATAACACGGTGGTTAGGGATGCTGACCCATCCTTGCATACATAGTTGTAGTTGAAGTTCTGAGTTTAGAGCCTGGAGAGAGGGGACAGGGAATAGGGCACTTGCCATGCACATAGGTGAGCCCTGCTCCATCCCTGGCTTACAGAGGATCCTGGGCACAGCCAGGTGTGCCCCAGGACCCCCATGAAAGAATTCTGTGTTTCCCCTGACTCCCTGCTGCTGTGAACCAGTCCCTTAGTCTCTGAAATGAGGCGGAGTGTGTATTGTCTGTCGTGTGTATTCTGGACTCTAGTCTTGCAGTCAGGTAAGTGAGAGGAAAGAAGCCGAGACTGAGAAAGTGCAGAGGGCAAGAAGGTGCATTGAGAACTAAGCGTTGAAACTGCGCAGTCTGTATGCTCACGTGCAAGCCCCCTGCAGCTCCGCTTCCGGGACCGACTCTGTCTGCACTTTGGCCAAACTTGAGAGGGGCCCGGGGTGGGCAGAGGAACCCTCACGGTCCCATCTGCCTTTCTCCCGTCCTCCCCAGCAGTAGAAGGGCAGGAGTGCTCTTGGGGAAATAAACAGAGAGAACAAGTTTATCTCCTCCCAGAGGAAGTGCGGGGCAGTGGGAGGGTTGGGGACCTGTTCCTCCTCTGTCTTACTTTGGTTTCCTCGGCCTAGAGGGATCCTGGTGCCATGGGGCCTGGGTGACCTGCAGCTCCTGCTAGACCCCAGCCCTGGCCCAACCCCTAGTCTGTCCCTCGCCCCCTCCCCCCCTGCCCCCTCTTGTCCTTCATCAGCCCCTCAAGTCCCTCCTGCCCCGCCATCCTGCATGCTCAGGCTCCTGCGGCCGTCAACCAAAAAAGGGCACAGAGACCAGACGTGGCAGCTGCGTGACAGCCTCCCCCAAGGAAGGGCGGCCAGCTCCCGTGCCCGATAAATCATGCCTTATCTCCTTTCGAGAGGAACACGTGGCCCAAGCCCGTTTATCTCCATGATACCGTCCCGTCTGCACTGTGTCCTCCCTGACGTGCGGTGGCCCCTCCGCCCGGCTTCAAAGGGACGGGGTAGAAGGCAGGCGTGAGGGAGTGTCTAGAAGCAGAGGCCAGCATCCCTCGGGACGCCTGTTGCGTGCAGCGCCTGTGTCAAGGGGAGCATGAGGAGGAGGAGGAGGAGGAGGAGGAGGAGGAGGAGGAGGAGGAGGAGGAAGAGGAGGAGGAGGAGTAACAGCAGCAGCAGCTGTGGCCATGGTCTTTGGCTCGTCCCTGTGCAGACAGACGAGAGACACAGGGAGACGGGGACCACCCAGTGTGGGGTGATGACAGTCACCGCAGGACCCAGGCATGACCCACAGCCGGGGGCAGGGACAGGAAGTCAGGGGTGGGCTGCATCTGCTTCTCACTGCGCCCAAGTCCCTGCCCGTCCCCTGTGCCCGCCAGAGGCTGTTCCCGGGAGCAGCTGGGAAGTCTGTTTAGCCAGACACCAACTATGCACCCAAGTCCCTCCATCAAGAGGCATCCATTCCCTCACTGGCCTTTCTTTCCAGAGCAGGGGACACTTAGTCATGCCCTAGGCTGCAAGTGCCCTCAGGAGCTCGATGCCAGGCTACACTCTCTGGCCCTCAGCTGGGCCCTGCATCGCCCGCGCCTGCGCCCCAGGTCCCCCACAGAGGGAGCCCCACAGGGACGAACAGACGCTTCCTCCGTTTGCTGCCTTTGCTCCCGGTGTTGTCCCTCCTGGTCATTTCCCAGACAAACTGTATTCACAGCGAGTGACCAGTCTTAGGGCTTCACTTGACCTTGATGAAGACTTAAGTGGATTCACATAATGTCTGCATATTTATTCACACATGACAACGGTGATTTTAAAACAGAACTCCTTTAGTGCAAATGAAAAAGATCGCCTCCCCCCAGCTCAAAGAAAGATGAATCGTGGTACTTTATATAAATGAAATGCCCAGGTAGACCTGAGATTTAGGGACAGTTGTCCTCTATCCAGCTGGATATCCTGGGATACCTGCCTTTTGTTATCTCTGGATCCTGCTCTCTCTCTCTCTCTCTCTCTCTCTCTCTCTCTCTCTCTCTCTCTCTCTCTCTCTTTTTTGCCATCTAAGAAACACTGAACCCACCTGTACCAGACCCAGACCTTTCTCTCTGTCAGCTGCCTTCCCAGCAGCCGGAGTGAAGTGCCAGACCCACTTCCCGCCTAGCACGGTGGAAGAAAAAGGGTATAGACAGCACAAATCTCAGGGCAGACCCTGATTGGCCCAGAACTGGTTCCTGGCCCGTTTCTGAGCCAATCTCAGTGACAGATGGGCTGGTTGATCAGACGCCTGCCCATGTGCCAGTGGGTGGACTAGTCCCATTTGAGCCAAAGGTCTGCCTGGGAATGAAGGAAGGCTGTTCTCCAGAGGGAGTTAGGCAGGCTTGGGCTACAGCAGATGGCAGTTAGAGCTGTGGGCTGAATCCTTGCTTACATGCAGAGTGAGCCCTGGGGTTCTCAGCGGAGGCCGACCTTGGGTGCATGGCCAAGTGTCCTGTCTTCTGGAAGGAAAGGCTGCTCCCAGCTCCCCCAGTTAAGGAATGCCTTTTTTTCCCTTAAATTTTTATTAGTGAAACACCATGAGGTACAGTTGTAGACTTACAAACTTTTGTGCTTGGGTTTCAGTTATATAATGATCGAATACCCATCCCTCCACCAGTGCCCATTCTCCACCACCACTGATCCCAGTATCCCTCCCACCCCCCATTCCCCCCATTCCACCCTACCTCTGTGGCAGGGCATTCCGTTTTGTTATCTCTCTCCTTTTGATGTTGTGGTTTGCAAAAGAGACATTGAGTGGCAATCATGTTCGGTCTATAGTCTTACTCTCATCACGCATCTTCCATCCTGAGAGGATTCTCCCAACACCCTTTACCTGGTGCTCCCTTCTCTATCTGAGCTGCCTTTCCCCTAGCGTGTATGTGGCTGGCCTCAAAGCCATGGAGTAATCCTCCTGGTACTTATCTCGGTTATTCTTGGGTGTTAGTCTCCTATTTTGCTACTTTATGTAAGGAATGCCTTTTGATGAACCAGAACCATAATACATGCTTGCCTTGCACGTGGCCGACCCAGGTTCAATCCCCCATATCCCATATGGTTTCCCAAGTCCACCACGAGTGATCCCTAAGTGCAGAGCAAGAAAGAAGTAAGCCCTGAGCAGTGACCCAGCTGCACATCCCACTTGCTCACCTCCCTCCCCCCCCAAAAAAAGGCTATTAGAAACAGGGCCTTTGATGACCACTGGACACAGAAGAAAAAGCTGTACCAGGTCACGAATGTCACATACTCAAGTTCAGATTCTAAATTTAGCCGACTGTAAAGTTTCTCCACGCTGGGTTGGGGGTGGGGCTTGGTAGTAGCGCACTTACCTTGCGCAAGTGAGGCCCCCAGCTTCCGTTCCCAGGGGCCCCAGAGCACCACCAGGAGTGATCTTCCAGTACTGAGCCAGGAGTGGCCCCTGAGCTCCTGTGGGTGACCTGGCACCCCAGGAAAGGACTCTGATGTATCTGTTGGTTCTCATTGGGCTGGGCTTGCTCAGAGGAGCCTGAGGGACGTGTGAGGGGCATGTCCCTGCCTTCCTGCGGAGGGCAGCCCCCTGCTCTGTTCCAAGGCTGTGTCCCCCTCAAGGCTGGGAGACAGTCGGGCCACAGCAGACAGGCTTGTCTTGGCCTTCTCCTGGCCTGGAAGCAGCTGCCCACCTAAACTAAGAATAGGAGCTCCTGCCCGGTGGCAGGAAACGAGGCCGGTTTCTCCAGGAGGGCTGGGCCTGAAAGCGCACATGCACGTGATGCTGGGCCGGCCTGGGTGTGAGCGGGAGGTCACTCTGTGCCCGGGTCAGGCGTCGGCCCTGCCATTCCGCCCGGACGGACACTAGGACAAGATGGCAACCTCCGGGGCGTCCCCTCCGCCCGAGCCGTCCCGGACCCTCAGCCTCGGGCGGCTCCTGCCCACCCACCGAGGTGACCGTTCTTCACCTGAAGGGAGGGCCAGCTGAAAAGGCCCTGGGGGGTATACACGCAAATAGAGCCCACGGCCCCCTCGCTGCTGCCACACGCTCACGAGCATCTCTCTTCCAGGAAAGATCCTGTTCCGGAGAAGCCACATCCGGGACGTTGCTGTGAAGAGGCTGAGGCCCATCGACGAGTACTGCCGGGTAAGGCCACTGGGTGTGGGCCGGGCGGAATGTCTGTGTGTTCAGACTCCCCGATGCCCATGCAGAGGGCAGTGCCCCTCTCAGAGAGCGGTGGACTCAGCATGGGACCCCTTCTGGGCAACGAGGGCCTTGGGCTCGCCGCTGGGCCTCTGCTGTTTTGGGAATCAAGCAGTGTACAAAGTTGGAACATGGGGCCAAGTAATAGTACAGCAGGGAGGACATTTGACCTGCACGCAACCGACCCGGGTTCGATCCCCGGCATTCCATATGGTCCCCCAAGCACCATCAGGAGTAATTCCTGAGTGCAGAGCCAGGAGTGACCCCTGAGCATCGCTGGGTGCGACCCCAAAACAAAAATAAACAAAAAAAAATCCAAAGTGGGAACAGTTGCTGGGGTCAGAGACAGCTGGGGGTAGGGGTAGACGGGGGTGGAGCGTGTGCCTGGGATACCCAAGGTCCTGGTTCCATCCCTGGTACCTCCTGGCCTCTGGTGCATCGCTCCCAGGTGGCCCCTAGTCTGGTGGGGAACCCCCCACCCCTACCACTACCACCAAACATAGACCATGAAAAGGAAACCACTTGGGAGCAGTTTGATTTCCTTTGGCAAAACATAGTCAGAATCAGTTTCGAGGTCCCTGTCACCCAGGATTCGTCTTTGCGTATACATGTGCACAGACACAGCATTATAGGAGCAAATGTGCACACGCTCTGTCTTCATGTACACGCACCAGACAGCCAGAGCAAGGTGTGGACAGGAAGGAAGGCCCACCTCGGAGCAGGACGCACTGTCCCTCTGATTGGAGCAGAGGACCCTGCAAGGGGCTCCAGAGCCGTCCACCTGTGTGTCCTGGCAGAAGGCCTCCGCGTGCCCAGACCACCTGGTTCTTTAACTTCCTGGAGCCTCAGTTTTCTCTCTGTACCACAGGACCTGGTGGTGCTGTTCTGACTTGTAAAGCCAGTGCTGGCCCTGCCTGGCAAAGAGGACGTGCCCAGTGGGGCCAGATTTAATGACCATCAAAGACCTAGACAATTTCATGATCCCTCCTGGTGTGAGTGGCAGAGAATTTCTTAGTTAAACAACTTACTCTGGAGCAATGGTACAGTGGTCGGGGAACTTGCCTTGCACGCTGCAAACTTGAGTTTAATCCCCCATGTCCTAAATGACCCTCCAAGCCTGCCAGGAGTGATCCTTGAGCACGGAGCCAGGAGTAAACCCTGGGCATCACTGGGTGTGACCCCAAAACAAAATAATTTACTCTGGAGAGAGTGAGCTCAGAAGGCTGAGTGCGTGCTTTGCATGCAGGAGCCCTGGGTGGGATCCCTGAATCCATGGTTTCCTGAACCCCACCAGGGGGTGACCCTGGAGTATGGATAGAGCCAGGAGTAGCCCCCGAGCCCTGCTGGGTGTGGACCTCCAAACCAACAAAAATCTTTGGCAAAGATAAATGTGGAATGATGCTTTGTCGGGAGTGCTTGGATTTGGGGTGAGAATCCCAGAACCCCATCTCCTGGCTATGTGATGTTGGTCAAGTTGCTTTCTGTCTCTGAGCTCTAGCTCCCTTTCTGAGAAATAGGGTTGCAAACAGCTCTCTTGCCAGTTCTCGGGAGGCTCAGTGAGAGGGAGGTTGGCTGTGCTTGTGTCCTCTGAAGTACCTGACCCCTTCATAGCGTTGTTATCATCAGGTTCCTTTCTGCGATGATGTTTCATAACCCTGCATCGTTGTACTTGCCAGCAGAAGTGTTTTTCCAAGAAATAAGTTGCCAGGTGTATTACCTGCTGTTCCCTAGTATAGGGAAGTCAGACTCTCCCATCCAGTGTCCCCGGTCGTGACCTTAGAGGTTCTCTCTGTTCTCATTTTCTACCTGACCTGCTGCAGCTGGCCTGGTTTTGAGTCCTCTGGGCTCGACATTCCCCTTCTTCAGCTCAATATTTATTTTTCTCTTGAAGGAGCATTTAACATCTCTCGCCCGGTTGATGGCGACAGCCGGGGCTTTGATGTCATGTTATTCCCTGCCCAAGAAATTAAGCCAACAGGCAGAGCTAATGGAGGAGGGGGCAGAGGGCAGAAGGGTCCCCCTGCCGCTGGGATTTACAGCCCCTCGGCGCCGCCAGAGCTCCAGGGATCTGTGGGGGTCTCAGCAGAGAGGGAACTGATAGCATCTTATATCTCAGGAACCCTGAATCGGGCGGAGATCCAATGGGGGGAGCCCTAGGGCCCCAGTGGTGCCCTATTGACTGGGGAGACCTTTTAAGTGGGCTCGGCAGAAGAAGGGGCCCCCTAACCTGATTAGGGTCGACCACACCACCTCCGGCTGCAGTCGACAGAAGGCGGGGGGTGGGTGGGGAAGGCATGACCTTCCATTCGGCTCACAGGAAGGCTGGGTCAGCATTGTGTGTCTGATTGTCCAAGACCTGGGTGTGGGCTTGGAGTGGTCATTAGGGACAAGCCCAGCAGCAGGTCAGGGTCACTGCCATCTGCTATTGCACCTCTTGGCTCTGTTTACCGATCATGGTGCCAAAGAGCTCTCAGCCTCACCTCACTGTCCACTGCCCTGCTTGACACCTCTGAGCACTGGGTGGTCCACTCCACACCCCATGGCCCAGCCCGCCCAGCTGTTCTAGGACACCCCCTCTTTAGAAGTCCCAGGAGTTTTGTCCACAGAATCCAGCACAAGCGCCTCTGCTTGGCTGGTCAGCACCTTCTCTGGACCCGCCAGGTTGCGGGGACTCTGGGTGTGGGGGGTGTCAGGGGTTCTCCCACGCCCGACCATGGAGCTGGCTCTGCACAAGTGACTCAAGACGCAACGAGTGTCAGTGCACACAGAGTCCCCACGCCCTGGGACCCCTGTCCTCACCGCCCAGCACGTGCTCCCAGCCCTGAGCTCAGTGTTCGCCCGAAACGTAGGAGGAGCAGATGAAACGGACGTCATGGAAAATTTACCGAACGTTGCCGGGTGATTGTTTTATGTGGCACTCGAGGGCTGCCTGTCCGTCAAAACGGGCTCCAAAGGCATTTCGTGAACTCCATAAATTAATTTAATGGGCAGCATGCTTATGCGGCTAATATTTAACGGCCCTGTGGCCTCAGCAAGTTGGAGGCTTTCATCTCACTAACAAGCGTGAGCTCTGTGTACTTCGGGGGTCCGGGCCCACGAGCGTACAGGGGATACTTTTACCCCATTCCTGCATGTGGAATACATGTCGGCAGTGTTTTTCCTAGGGGAGAAAATCAAACATTTGCCCCGTAGCTGCCTCGAGGACTTTTCTGCTGCCCCGGTGTTGAGCTCACTGCTATTATTCTTTCTGCGCAAGGAAACTCGTTTTGGGGGTCAAGGGCCCCAAATCAGGCTTGGCTGCAGTGAGAGGGGAGAGGGACACCAGGCTGGACCAGAGGCGCCGCTTAAAGAGAAAGGCTCTCAGTGGCCCCATAGTGCAAGAGGGAGATGAGGACCAGTTTGTCTTTGCACATGGCCAACCCGGGTTCGATCCCTGGCATCCCATGGGGTCCCCCGAGCACCCTGGGTATCACCGGGTGTGACCCAGCAAGCCAAAACAAAACAAAAAAACCGAAAGCACCAGAGGGAGGATGAGCATGTGCCTAGCCAGATGGGGACCTTGAATTCGTCCCTTGCACTGTGTGTGACCCTCGTATCCCGGCATCTCCCACAGAGCATCGCTGGGAGTGGCTGCTGGCTGAAAAGACAGAATAAATCAAATCCAGGGACCCGTAAGGTATCTCAGTGGTTGAAAACACTCGTCCAGTGACTGCTCAGCCACTGAGTTTATACAGCATCTTTTTTTTTTTTGATTTTGGGTCACACCTAGCAGTGCTCAGGGGTTACCCTAGGAATCACTTTGGGCAGTGCACAGGGGAACATATGGAATGCCGGGAATCAAACCCAGCTCGACCCCGTGCACGGCAAATGCCTTTCCCACTGTACCATCGCTCTGGCCCCACAGCCACCGAGCTTGCACCCCCGTTCTGCTTGCACCCGCACTAGCAACCCTGGACACTCTGCTGACTGGGGTCCTTGGAAGCCACCCTCCTCCCTCTCCCCCCACCCCAGGTCTGGGGTCCCTGGATAGGGAAGTCAGAGAGTAAGGGTGTCCCCACCTGGTCCCCCTGCCCCAGCAGCTTTCAACTCTGTCCCCTCTTCCCAGATTCTCCTGGTCCGGAGCCCCGGGGCTGCCCCCTCTGTCCACAGGCATCCCTGCCCCGGCCACCCTAGGTTCTCCCGTCGCTGACCAGGTCCCAGCAGAGGGCAGAGCCCACTACTTCCAAAAGCACTGAGACTATGGTGTGCTCCCCTCCTCTGTCTGAAGAGCGTGGCTCGTTTCTCAAGGGGCTTGCTCTTAGAACAGGCGCGGGTCATGCGTGTTATTGCGGGGCATATTGAGGCAGGAAGCCAGAACTGATGAGCTTGGGCGTTCTTAAAAACTTTTTTTTTCTTTTTGGGTCACACCCAGCGATGCTCAGTGATGCTCTGTACTCAGGAATCACTCCTGGCAGTGCTGGAGGGACCATATGGAATGCCGGGGATTGAACCCGGGTTGGCTATGTGCAAAGCAAACGCCCTACCCGCTGTACTATGACTCTGAAATAAATAGATTTTATTTGGAGGGTTTTTTTTTTTGGTTTTTGGGTCACACCCGGCGATGCTCAGGGGTTACTCCTGGCTCTGCACTCAGGAATTACCCCTGGCGGTGCTCAGGGGACCATATGGGATGCTGGGAATCAAACCCGGGTCAGCCGCATGCAAGGCAAACGCCCTACCCGCTGTGCTATCGCTCCAGCCCCTTGGAGGGTTTTTAAGGTGTGGAGGGAGAGAGAGGGGGAGAGAGAGTAACGCTCTCAAGAGAGAACCCGGGCTTCTTCAAAGGCAGAGAGAGCCCCTACACACACCCCAGCATTAGGTGTGAAAGCATGAAAGTCCACATCTCAAGAGGGGAGATGTGGGCGACGCATGTGCTTGGCCACGTGGGCTCGGGCAGCATATGCACTATGACTCTGGCTCGAGCTTGATTGTTTTTGCCCCAAGTGGGCTGGGACCCTGCGAGTACTCACTCCTCTGTCTCAGATGGACCCGGAGCAGGGATTTTCAGTCTGGGATGAAACCCATCACATCCCTTTTCTCCTGAAAGAGGCAGAGGAGCCGCTTGGGCACTGGGGGGCCGGGAGGAGGGGTGCGGTTGGGGAAGAGGAAGGGATGTGCTCCAATTGCAGCTCAGGCTCAGCCCTGCCCCCTGCAGGTCCGTCTCAGAAGTGCAGCCATTCCCACCTAGCGAGACTGTGCTCAGGAGGGAGGGGGCCTCCAGCCTGCCCTGGAGACCCCCACTCATCGCCCACCGCAGATACTTCCACCTGGTTGGTGCTCAGCTTTCTGATACCCTTTCTTTATTTTTATTTAGCGACTGGGGGGGTTGGGCCATACCTGGCAGTGCTCAGGGCTTACTCCTGGCTCAGTGCTCAAGGATCACTCCTGGTGAGGCTCAGGGGACTCTTTGGGGTGCTGGGGGGGTCCAAGAAGGCACTGCCATGTGCAAGGCCTTCACCTGTGTGCTCTCTCTAGAAGCCCCTTCTGCAGGAGCCCTAATGTCACAGCAAACCCTGGGCTGGCGTGGCCGTGTCCCTTTGTTCCCCCGATGCTGTCCGTCTGTCTGGGCACTTGACTCAGGATTTGGACGCGGAGCAGTAAAGGCCACTGGGCTGGAGTGAGGATCCTCCTCCAGTTTCTACCGCGCGGCTCAGGGCTTGGTCCATGGCGGCTCCGTTGAAGAGTCCTTGCCTGTGGCCCCGAGGTACAGCAGAGCTTGTCCCCGACCCGTGTGGCCACCTTCCTGGGGACACATCGTGCTCCCCAGAGATGCCGTCTTGAGGGAAAGAGCAGTAGCCCAGCTCTGCCCCGACAGTCCTGTAGCCACGGTGGGGACTGCAGGAGACCCGTTTGGACAATCCCCTTGGCAGTCAGAGAGCGCTGGGTGTGCAGGGGTCCACAGCACTGAGGCGCTGGCTCTGAGTCCTGCCACTTGCTAGCAAAGTGACGGGAGTTCCATGGCCTCTCTGTGCTTTCGTTTCTTCTTCTCGAAATTTTTTTTTTTTTGCTTTTTGGGTCACACCCGGCGATGCTCAGGGGTTACTCCTGGCTCACGCACTCAGGAATCACTCCTGGCGGTGCTCGGGGGACCATATGGGATGCTGGGAATCAAACCTGTATCGGCCATCTTGGCTGCGTGCAAGGCAAACGCCCTACCCGCTGTGCTATCGCTCCAGCCCCTCCTTCTCTAAATTTGGAACCCTCTTTTCTTAAATTTATTTTTCAGTTGAATCACCATGAGATACATAGTTAACAAAGTTGTCCAGGATTGGGTTTTGGTCATATAATATTCCAAAATCCGTCCCTTCACCAGTGTACATTTCCCATCACCAATGTCCTCAGTTTCCCTCCTGCCATCCACCTCTCCCCAAGCCTGCCTCTGTGGCAGGCATTTTCTTCTCTCTCTCTCTCTCTCTCTCTCTCTCTCTCTCTCTCTCTCTCTCTTTCTCTGTGTCTCTCTGTCACTGTCTGTCTGTCTCTGTCTCTCTGTCTCTCTTTGTCTCTGTCTCTATCTCTGACTATCTCTTTGTCTCTGTCTCTCTCTGTGTCTCTGTCTCTCTGTCTCTGTCTTTCGCTCTCTCTCCTGGTCTCTGTCTTTCTCTCTCTGCCTCTCTGTCTCTGTCTCTCTCCTTCATGGTTTGCAGTACAGGTCCTGAAATGTTATCTTGTATAACCTTTTCTGAGAGCCTCTTGCACAGTTACCCCAAGACTCGGGGTCTGAGAAAGGCAGTCTCCACCTGTTCCGGTCTTCTCTGGCGGAGTCTGAGTAACTGAGCTTCTGTCCAAGACATACAAGCCTACAAAACTCACGTCCCCTCATGAAACAGTTGTTCTGAGCCCCACACTTGGGAGAACTAGTGGTCTCTTATCTGGAACTGACCACCAGAGAGCAGAGGGCAGCTGCCCGGGATCACGGAGCAAGTCGAAAGGGCAGGATTGGGGTGTTGATTGTGGGTGAAGAGATAGAACAGGGGATAGGGTATTTGCCTTGCATGCAGCCGAACCAAGTTCAATCCTCATCACCCCTTATGGTCCCCTCTGAGCACCACCAGGAGTGATCCCTGAGTACAGAGCCAGGAGTCATCTCTGAGAACTGCCAGGTGTGGCACCAAGACAACACCAAAACCAAAAGAAGGAATTGAATTATGCTGAAGTCCCCCTGACTCCCTTCCAGTGTCTTTCTGGTGCTTACTCAGCTTTTGCCACACAGAAACACGAGCAGAAAAGGGCAGCATAGCAGCCGGGGTGAACCAAGCACTGTCCTGCCTTGGACCCAGACACCTCACTTAGCTGTGACCAGCTGTGGTATTCCACGTCCACTGAGCTGTGGGAGAGAGGAGGAACGGGATCCGCATCACACAGCCTGTGGCCGGCAGCGCGAGGGTCCCTCAGCCAGGCCCACCCGCCCTGACCCGGCCGCTCCGCGTGTCCCTCCCCCGTGCCCAGCAGCAGAGCTTGAGAGCCGAGCGGAGGTCGTGCCCCTGGAAATACCCACAGATCTGGCTCCATCTGCTACTCTCAGAACGTCTGGGTGGTTTGCCGGAGCCCAGGCCCCAAGGACTGGCTGCCAAATGGTCTTGGCCAGAGCCAGGCTTGGCAGCAGCACTGCCAGGCACCACCCCAGCCGAGCCCCTCGCCGGCCTGCACGGGGGCGCGCGCTCTGTGCGGCTGCTTGTTCCTCAGATGCTGCCCCAAGTGCCCAGCAAAGGCCTCTTTGTCTGCGGCCCCCGGAATGCCGCTGTCGGTTGGCATGAAGAGCCCTGTGCTGGCCGCGGGTGCCCGGGCTGCAGGGACTGGCAGGCTCTGGCCTGGCACTTGGGCACCAGAGCTCTGCCTGCCCCCTCCTGCTTGGTCAGGGGGTCACCTGGCGGCCACTCCACACATGGCCTGCATCCCCGGTGATGGCTTCGCTCTGGTCTCAGCCCACCCAGCCCACCCGTTACCCACCAGCACTTCCTCCTGCAACCTGGTGCTGCCAAGAGCCTTACTCTGCCTGTGCAGTCTCTCAGTCACTCTCTCTCTCTCTCTCTGTCTCTCTGTCTCTCTGTCTCTGTCTCTTTCTCTGTCTCTGTCTTTCTCTCCATCCCTCACTCTCTATCCCTCCAGCTCTCTGCCTCTCTCTTCTTCCCCACCTTTTCTTTCCGTTCCTAGGGAGAAATAGCACTTGGCAGGCACGAACGTGTTCATTGAAAACTTGCACTCATGAGATTGGGCCCCGTTCTTGCCCTCTGACCATGGGGCCCCTGGCTGCTGCTGCAGTCCGGGGATCCCATCCACACCCGAGAGAGCACTGTCCCCTTGTGGTACCCCAGAGACACAGCTCTGGCCGGGCTCAGGCCAGGATGCTGCTGTGGGCAGGAGAGGAGGGATAGGGCCGGGGCGTGACGTGGGCCCGTGGCTCCGGCAGTGTCCCCTCTCTGTGCCCCGCTGTGTGTTGGGGGGCCGGGATATAGGGGGACTGGTCAATTTTTCAATGGCCTGTTTGGTGACTGAATAAGATACGTGGGTAGATAGGTAGAGATGGATGGGCGATTGGGCGAGTTAGCTGGGAAGTTATGTGGATGATTGTGTGGGTGTTGGAGGGACTAGTATGTGGATGGTTGGATCAGACGGATGCGTGGATGAGTGAGCAGGTGAGTGAGTGAGTGGATGGATGTGTAGGTGAGTGTTTGACAGCTGAGAATTGTTCAGTTACCTGTTTGGTTGTGGTGCCGAGGGCCCTGGTGGGGAGGTGGGTAGAACCTTCCCTATCACCAGTGACCAAAGCTGACCCCACTGTTGGTTTCCTGTCCAGAGCCTGGTCAGACCTGACGCCTTCCTTCCTGTCTTCCCACAGGCGCTAGTCCGGCTGCCTCCTCACATTTCCCAGTGCGACGAAGTCTTTCGGTTTTTTGAGGCCCGGCCAGAGGATGTCAACCCCCCGAAAGAGTAAGTGGCCGTTCTTGGCCTCTCCTGGGCAGGCGGCGACTATTGCGGGGATCCAGAGATCTACGACCTGTCAGCCATTGGGGACCAGGCCCTCTGCCCGGGGCTGCGGGGGAGCAGGTTCTCGGCAGAGGTTTCTAGCGCGCAGGTGGTTGCGTGGCAGAGGCGGTTGCATGGGGCACGGTTCTATGAGGACAGGCGGGGTCGGGTGGCACGGCTGAGCTCCAGGGTGTGCCCGTCACACCGCCTGTCATCCCGGCCCCGCAACTCGTCTCCTGTCCCTAACTGTAGAGGGGCCGTGATGCACACAGGGGCTTGGCAGATCTGCCCTGGTCGGCAGAGCGTGTGTGTGTGTGTGTGTGTGTGTGTGTGTGTGTGTGTGTGTGTTCGATGGGGCGAGTGGCCTCTTCCTTTTCAGCCGTTGGTCCATGCCCAGCTGTGCTCCTCCCTGGGCCAGTGTTTACCTCCTTCCACCCCTTTCCTGAGGAGACCCTGACCCGGGCCCCCACCCCAGCTGGCATAGGGCATGCGATGGTTCCAAGAAGGAATCCCAGATTCAGAAGTCGGGGGTCCGCAGGGTCTGCAAGGGGTTTCTGCTCCCGAGACAGACCTGTGCCTCGCAGCAGACCCACAGGTGAACGACCCTCTGCTGACAGGCTGGGACACTGCTGACCCTCCACCCTGAAGTATAAACATGGGGTCAGGTAACAGCAGAGAACAGCGTGTTTTGACTGGGGCGGCTTATCGGGTTATCAGAGCCTGTGTGTGCGTGTGTGTGTGTGTGTGTGTGTGTGTGTGTGTGTGTGTGTGTGTGTCTTTGGAGGTCTGCAGATAACCTCCAGCCCCTCTTTTCAGTGCGCTGCTGCAGGAGGGGCTGAGGCTGGCCCGTGTGTGTGTGTGTGTGTGTGTGTGTGTGTGTGTGTGTGTGTATCTCTGTCTCTTTGGAGGTCTGCAGATAACCTCCAGCCCCTCTTTTCAGTGCGCTGCTGCAGGAGGGGCTGAGGCTGGCATGGCTGTGAGGGGTGGGGGCAGTTGTACCCCTTTTCCATTGTGCAGGAAATCCTGGTGTATGTTGGGGGGGCGGCAGGGACTGGCTGCTCAGGCGCGCAGGGCAGCCACGGGCATGAATGTGGTGCTGGCCCTTCTACGACCGGGCTGCCTCAGCTGCTCCCCTCGTGGCCCCTGGCACATGAGAGATTTCCATGCAACTTTGGGTAGTATATAAACTAGGTGTACAAATCAGATACTTACTGAAAATCATAAAGACATTTATTTTAAACTTATTTTTCCAAAAATTAGGTGACATCCCCAATCCTGGCATAGCCTTCTCCCCGCTCTGATTTGGGACAAGCCCTGGCCCACTGTGAGCCCGGACAGCCTCTGATCTGTGTGCTGGAACAGCCTCTGGCCTGTGCCCGGACAGCCTCTGGCCTGTGCCCGGACAGCCTCTGATCTGTGCTGGGAGAGCCTTTCACAGTTTAAGATGCTAGGTTCTGGACCACTGGCCCTACAGAAAGAATGTTTTAGAAAGAGCATCAAAGGTTTCCCTTTGAGGAGTCTGGCAGAGAGCCCTCCTGGGACTTTGTCCTCCTCCCACTGTCCCCCAGAGTGATTGTCCAGAGCCCTCCCCTGCCCTTCTCCAACAGCAAACCCCGGCTGACCTATCTTGTTCCAGTGATGAAGTCCGGGCTTTATGTTAGAGTCATCACTTTCCTCACATCCCTCCAGCCCATGGGCGCTCTTTTCAGTATTCATCTGGGCGGAGGGGAGGGGAGGGTTGGAGGCTGGAGGGGTCGTATAGAGGTGAGGCACTTGCCTCGGATGCATGGAGCTTAAGGTCCCTTGAGCACTACCAGTGTCCTCTCCTGAGCTTAGAGCCAGGAATAGCCCCTGTAAAGGGGGATGGATGAAGAGGAGGTGGAGGAGGAGGAGGAGGAGGAGCAGGGGGAGGGAGGGAGGGAGGGAGGGAAGGGAAGGGAAGGGAAAGAGAAGAAGAAGGAGGAATAAGAAAGAAAAGGAGAAGAATTCATCAGGATGGCTTGTTTTGTTTGTTTTGTTTGGGGACCACACCTAGATGCTCAGGGCTGGAGCCAGGTTGGCTGTGTACGTGGTGGGCTTCCCACCCTGGTTCTCTCTGTAGCCCCCCATCAGGGATCCAGCTACATCCAGCCCCCTGCTGCTACCTGGGTCAGACCACCGCTTACCCGCCGCCTCTGGGGTCTTCCTGCACTGCCCAGTAAGGGAAGGAAGGGGCATCTCAACACACACGCAGAGCCCAACAGCTGCTCACTCCGGCCCTCGAGGCCTCCCTTCGGACCCTCGTGCCCTGCTCTGCTTCTTACACCTGCCGGCCACCTTCTCCTGTAGTGGCAGGGGGGCTGTCCCCACTGCTGGACATGCCCCCCCCCAGGGAGCCCCTACTCCTGCCAGCCTCTCTGTTGAAATCCCCTCATGCTTCCCTCTGTACCTTTGTTTATGGAACACCCTGCTGGCTCTGTCAGCCCCTCCTGAGAGAATGTTCCAGAAGAAACATTGTCTGCCCCACTTCTCACCAGCTCCTGGAGTGGACACTAGAGAGCTGATGCAGGTCACACCGGCCGGGCTTTGTCCTGGGAGCTGCCCTGGCAGAGGCGAGCAGGGCCCCGGGCCACAGCCAAGGCCGCCCGCCAGGCGCGTGCAGGACCAGACTCCTGGCCCGGCAGCCTCCCTGGCCATGCAGCTCACGTCACCTCAGCAGCCAGGGCTGAGGGAGGCCAGCTCGGGCCCCTGGACGTTCACTTCCCACTTGAGGATGCCAGGGCCTTGGAAAGCCAGCGTGTGTCTGTATGTCTCTGTCTTACGTGCCTGTCCTGTGGAGAGTGTAACTGTGTGTGTGATGTGTGTGTCTGTGTGAGACGTGTATCAGTGTGCCCATGTGCATGTGTGTGCGATGTGTCTGAGATGTGTATGAGTGTGTGCAGGTGTGTGATGTGTCTCGTGAGATGTGTATGAGTGTGTGCATGTGTGTCTGTGTGATTTGTATGAGTGTGTACATGTGTATGTGTGTGTGATGTGTCTGAGATGCGTATGAGCGTGCGCTTGTGTGTCTGTGTGATTTGTATGAGTGTGTACACGTGCATGTGTGTGTGATGTGTCTGAGATGTGTATGAGTGTGTGCATGTGTGTGATGTGTCTTGTGAGATGTGTATGAGTGTGTGCATGTGTGTCTGTGTGATTTGTATGAGTGTGTACATGTGTATGTGTGTGATGTGTGTCTGAGATGCGTATGAGCGTGCGCTTGTGTGTCTGTGTGATTTGTATGAGTGTGTACATGTGCATGTGTGTGTGATGTGTGTCTGAGATGCGTATGAGCGTGCGCTTGTGTGTCTGTGTGATTTGTATGAGTGTGTACATGTGTATGTGTGTGATGTGTGTCTGAGATGCGTATGAGTGTGTGCATGTGTGTCTGTGTGATTTGTATGAGTGTGTACATGTGTATGTGTGTGATGTGTGTCTGAGATGCGTATGAGTGTGTGCATGTGTGTCTGTGTGATTTGTTTGAGTGTGTACACGTGCATGTGTGTGTGACGTGTCTTGTGAGATGTGTATGATTGTGTACATGTGTGTCTGTGATTTGTTTATGAGTGTGTACATGTGTATGTGTGTGTGTTGTGTGTCTAAGATGAGATGTGTGTCTGTGTGATTTGTATGAATGTGTACATTTATATGTGTGTGATGTGTGTCTGAGATGCGTATGAGTGTGTGCATATGTGTCTGTGTGATTTGTATGAGTGTGTACATGTGCATGTGTGTGTGATGTGTGTCTGAGATGCGTATGAGCGTGCGCTTGTGTGTCTGTGTGTGATGTGTGTTACACTGTGTGAGCACATTATCCATCCTCACGGGGCGGGGTCGGGGGGAGAGCAGGATAGGAGGATAGGAGTGCTAGGCCCTCCTGCTGACTCACGCCCTTCCCTCTGGGGCCACCCCTGAGGTGACTTTCCAGCCGGCCTGGGAGCTGTGGAGCACGGGGCTTCCCTTTCACCTGGCACTGCCCACATTGGGGCCCTGGCTGTGCCCATCTCGGGGCCAAGGGCTCTGGCTCGCCTCTGGGCTCCCGGCCTGGGCCTGTCCTGCTCAGGCCCGCCCAGATCCCGGCTGAATTCTTGGAATCGCATGGAGGCGCCTTGCTCAACAGGTTTTTTTGTTCCTGGGTTGCAGGGCCACAGAACCACCCTCTGCTGTGGCCCAGAACAATGGCCCAATGTTCCCGGGGCCTGGGTGGGGGAGACTTGAGCCAGATGCCAGCTCCCTGCCCCAGCCTGCCCAGGCAGCTCTCTGGCCAGGGTCCGCCCCTCCACCCCCTGCGTCCTGCCCTGCTCTGGAACATCCCGGCACACCTCTGGGAAAGGAGACAGCGTCCCCAAAAGGCCTGGCCAAGCAGAGCCCTGGGCTGGGACTGGACTTTGACCAGCTGGCTTAGCTTTGGACTCACTCTCTGTTGGGACAACCCCTAACCCACTCCATGCCGGGACAGCCTCTGACCTATGACAGCCTCAGCCTCTGGCCTGTGTCAGAGCCCCCCCTCCAGGAATTGGATCTGGCCGCTGCAGGGCTGAGGCTGTGGGCAGGTGTAACCAGCCCCATGACCAGTAGTTTGCCCTGTGGGGCAGCTGTGTCATTGGCCCAGAGCTCTTGGGCGTCCTGAGTCTCACTGGCAGGACCGTTTGTCCCTCCTCCTCAGTCCAGGCTGGGGCTCCGTGTGCCCTTATGCAGACCCGGGCAGTGGAGATGGGCCCGGGTGTGACTAGGAGCTGACCGGGGCTCCCTGGGGTCCACCCCCCACCCCGCCCTGTGGGAATCCTCTCCAGGTCTCCTAGGAACCGTGGGGTGCACTGACTCTCCGCCAGCTTCGGGAACCCCGAGTTCCCACCCTGCCCCCCCAGGGACTGGGAGTCTGGAAATTGGACCCGCCTGACCCCTCCCCACTCCACGCGACCCTCCAAAGCAGGTAGATTTGGACA